AACACTCAATCACCTAGCAGGTGTTTAAGCAACAGCAGAACTAATTAGGATACTGTGTTTACTAGATGTCTGTAAATGAAAACACCATTTCATTGGTTGTTTAGTACATCTCCAATAAGATAAGAGGTTCTTAGGCCTCTAAAACTTACTCCATTCCCAAGTCTGCACACAGCTCTTGACTATCATAAGGCATGCCTTATGTATTTCTCATCTTAAGCTGAGAAGTAGAAGGTAAGCTTTTTCTAAAGCATCAGAATTAGCTGTAGATTAAACAAGAGAGACACTTTCAGACAAGAAAAAATAGAGTAAATAAATACTAAACAATAAATGGTATTAGACTACAGTAGTAACAGGATGCAGCAAAATAGTAGCAAGACCAGAAATGCCATTTCTTCTTACACTCCAACTTAAAACTGAATGTAGCTCTGTTGGGTTTAGGACTTTTTAACCTCCCTTAGTCTTGTAAGAACCTGTTTGTTTCCCATGATACAAGTTTTGCAATAATCCCCAAAAGCTGACATGGGAAACTGTGTAAAGTTGTATTAGCAGAGGTGACTGTTACTTCCTAGATACAAATGTGCACTTAGAGAATCTCAGCTTCTCATCCACACTATCTATTGTGTCTTATTACAGAAAACAAATTGGTGAATTACTGGCAAAATTATACCTAGCTGTCAAAGAATCAGACACTTAATTGCAAGAGTAGTAGCCAGGTATTTTTATCAGTGGTTGGTTTAAACTGACCAAATAATCTTCATTTGAATGTACTTATTATGTCCTTAAAAGGTGATAATTTGGATTTTTACTCTAAATGCCAAAGCTTTTTAGTACATGTAAGTGCTCTTCTTCCAGTCCTCTGTACTCCAAAACACATTTTGTCCACAGAACTGATGCATTTAATGTTCTTGATATAGTATTGTATGTTTTATTCCAGCACACTGAGCCACAAGGAATTCAGGTTCATCTATCCAGTACTGCCATTCTGCATGTTTTTTTGTGGTAAGCATTGGTTTCAAATGTCTTGCAACCTTACCTGTATACAATTTTTACCCCAGGAGAGACCGTTAATAGTCAATGTAGGTATTTGAGAAAGGATTCTTAGAACTAGCCTAACCTTTTCTTACAGCTAGCAAAAAAGAAGTGGGGGGGGGAGGGGGATGAGGAAGAGCAATAACACAGGTTGAGAATCCTTAGCATGGATAAAAGTACTGCCTGCAAAAATATGACAATTGTGTCAGTGACTCCTAACTTTTCAGCACTACCTTACAGTGAAATCTTGTTCCTTGGCTCCTTTGTACTATTTTTCCACACAGTTCTTTCCAATATGCCTGAGAAATGCCTTTAATTATGCAACAAGAAATTAAAATACTAAAAAAGTAAAATAACCCTTTTCTAGATTCAGATGTTACAAAGGAAAGATTAAAACTTCTGGAACATGAAAATGTATAGCTTTGGTTCAAATACAAGTTCAAAACTGATGAATCGCTCAACACTGTAATTTTCTTTAACCTGGTTTGCTAGTCTAAACAAAAGTAAATCTTATTTCAATAATTTTGCTCTCTGCTGAGATCAAATATGTAATAAGTCTTGTCTTAGTTCAAGAGCAGCAAGATGAACCTGTTCTACTTCACATGCAGAACAATTCCAATCAAACCACTATTTATTGTTAATATCCCTCTTAACCTTCACGTCTGCAAGGGTCTTGATATAATTTATTTAGAACTCCTTATCATGTTTGGATACTTTAGTAAAGAAAAAAATACAAAAGTTACTTCTGTTAATTCAGTGGTTACAAAAAGGTCTTAATTGCTCAAAACATTATAAATAAAAGCAGAAAAAAACCCCCACATGAATTTCAAAGTAATTTCTGGGCACACAAATATAAGCTCAGAGCATTTCACAAAAGCAATAAAAAAACCCTCAAAATGCCTCTAATAGAATGTTTCCACTTTCATTTTAACCACAAACTTATTTGTGGACTTTGTTTTCAACCAAGATAAAGACAATTTGTTAAAACATACCAAGTGAAGACTAATTTAATTTGCTTGTTACTTACTTCTGGAGCAGGCCTATTGTAGCTTGTTTCTTGTGATTCAGTACAGGTAGTCACAAAGCTATGTAAAATATTTTTATCTCCTGATGTTGACAAGCACATGACTT